CGTTGAAACATACAACCAATTAGCCGACATTTTCACAAAACCTTTAGAGAAAGAATCGTTCTTCTGCATGCGAAGTAACTCGGAATTCTCGACTCCATGATGGTCAAAGTTGTGCATTCATTTTTTTAATCCCTTACTAACTTGAACATCGGAGACAATTTTAACTCTTTTTTGCAAGGCTCTTTTTGGCTCAAATTTAGGTGTTAAAGTTAGGGGAAATGTGCAAAATCGATTTTCAATTTATAGGAAATCGATTTTCGGCATCAGGATTGGTCGATAATCGATTATCAACAAAGTGACAATCGATTATCATAGCCCGCAGAAGTTGGAACAAATCAGCTGAATATCACAACAATTGATTATCAACATATGGATAATCGACTATCAAGGGCCGCTTAACTTTTCAGACTTCAGGAGAAAATATGTGTCAATCGATTATCCGAAACCTTATAATCGACTATCAGCGTCTGCAGGTTCTTCAGCAGAAATTCAAAACAGCCTGATAATCGATTATCCAGTAGCCGTTGGAGGGTCATTTATCACTAGTTTGACCACCCCAATGGATCTCCAAGGCTTCTCCACTATATATGGGTGACTTCTCTTAATTATTTACTCACTCCAAACACATTTTCTTCATATAATCATCATATTTCATCAATCTCTTCCCTTTCTTGCACTTGTTCTTCAAGTTTTTGCCCATTTCCTGCAAATTATCTGTTAGCCTTAGTTTGCTAAGCCTCGTGTTTTGATGTTAACAAACAATATAAGAGCTTAATGTTTGTTTAAGTGTTTCAGGTACAACAAGAATCCATTAAGATTCGTTCTCAAGAATGAAGTTGAAACACTAAACCAGCGAAGAATATAGGTAGAAACCAATGTAAGGATATGATTTTATATACATATATTCACACGCTCAAAAGCACTCAAAAAATATGTTTAAAAACATCACATAAACATTTTCAAATATCTAAAAGGTTTTAAACCCAAACACGAAGGATTAAGGGAATTTCGGAAAAATCAGAACAGAGCCACGGTACCCCAAGCGGTACCCTATACCGTCTACACGGTAGGGTATACCGCCCACACGGTACAGCAGTATCGTTAAACACCAGGTACCGTCAGAGCCGAATGGATTTTTAGTGGCACACGATACTGAGGTACCGCCACTCACGATACCCCCTACCGTACGCACGGTACCATGTTACCGTGAGGACGGTACCGGCCTACCGTGACCGTTGGGTTACTATTCCTGATTTGTAATTTGAATTAAATCAACCCTAATCACCTCCCAACGGCTAATTAACATCTTCCACTATAAATACAAGCCTAATCCTTCATATTTCTTTAAGAAAAAAAGCTCCAAAATCCTTCTTCTATATTCTAAGTGTGTTCATTCTATTATTCATTATTTTCAATATTTTGGCTATTTCAAGAGCCTTAAATTCCTGATTTTTATACACACACTTTGAGCTTATGTCTCTAGTTATATACTCTCATATTCATAAGTTTGTATTATATTTTTGAGAGAGTATAATTTCCATCTACACCGGCTAAGTTTTGTTCTTCATTTTTATATTCTAGTCGTTGTGTAGAACCTTTGTTTGTGTTCTTCAAACATACTTTCTTACGGTCGAGAATAGCTGTTAAATTCTCACAATGTAACGGTTAAGGATAGCCGTATAAATCCTTGGGTAGAGGTTCAATTATAGCCTTTGAAATCGTTGGGGGAACGGTAGAAGATATCCGTTAAATCTTCGTTGTAAACGGTTCAAGATAGCCGTTGTGAAATCTCGGAGTGAATCCTATTGTAAAGGGTTGTTTGCAAAACCAGTGTGGTGCTTTGACGGATTTCAAGAGGCCGGGACTTAGTGGATTTGGAAATCCTTGAGGAGGAGCCTCGAGGTACTGGAGTAGGGAGTTCGCGAACCAGTATAAAATCGGTGTGGATTTTATTTACGCTTTTATTTCTGCGTTATATATATTGCTTCCGTATTTTCCAACACCATTTTTTATTAAACTCCGAAAAGTTTTCAAACGCCTTATTCACCCCCCCCCCTCTAAGGCGTGGGCACAACGACTAACACCGACTAACAATTGGCATCAAAGCGGTTTCGTATTTGAAAGTTCTTAACCACATCTACGACAAAGATCTACTTGTTGTTCCCCTTTTAAATTTGAATTTTTTTTAATCTAAAAAGTTTATTATCCCTAATGTTTTTTTAAAAAAATGGCCACAATGGATTCTCAAAGCATTCACCGCCCTTCGTTCTTTAATGGTCAAAACTATTCTTATTGGAAAATGCGGATGGAATATTTTATTCAATCAATTGATTATGATTTATGGTTGAATGTACTTCAAGGGCCATTTGTGCCAAGAAATGGTGATTTTGCATATTTGTCTTCGGAGGACAAGAGGAAACTATCCATGAACGCAAAAACAATCAACATGCAACATTGCTCTCTTGGCCCCGACGAGTTTGCACGAGTATGCTAATGCAAAACGGCCAAGGAGGTATGGGAATTGCTACAAGCTACTCATGAAGGCGACATCTCAACTAAGCAAATGATGATTGCCCTTAGGAACTCCAAATACGAATCCTTCAAGAAAGGGTCAAATGAACAAGAGGTTCAACGAGATTCTCAACAAATTGAGTAAGTTGGGTAAGACGTATACTACTTTTGAGCTTAATACAAAAATTTTGTGTTCTTAACCTAAAAAATGGCATAGTAGTATCGTAGATTTATTACCCAAATGTGATAAGGCCAAAACCGCCCACATTTGGTCTTATTTGTATTCTCACGAACTTTTGTTGAGAAAGATCAAAGAGGAAGAAATGCGTGAAAATCCCAAACTTACCAACGCCTTCAAAGCTTCCAAAGACTCATCAAGTGAAGAATTGAGTGAGTCAAGTGATGATTCAAGTGATTCAAGCTCCTCGAAAGAGTCAAGTGATGAAGAAGATGAAGAGAAGGCAATGAGAATGAAATATAGGAATTTCCTCAAATGGAAAAATACCTGAAGAGGAAAGAAACGTATTCAAAGCTGAAAAAAGAGATGCATAAGACAAGGTAAGTTTTTCATGCTCATTGGGATAAGATATTTTGTTTGGTTTCAATTATTTTCGAAAATAAAACCTTATCCCATATGTGATGTTATTTGTTTTAGCCTTGGTTTGCATGATTTAATAATATTTTCAAAATTCATCTTTAAATCATGCCTTTATAAAATTATCCCCAAATTTCCTGAAAAATAAAGTTTTAAAACTTGCATCATTTTGGGGGGAGTTTTCGATTTTAGGGGGGGTTTTGTTGTAAATGCACCATTTGCCCAATGATCTCCAAACTATCATTTTTTCTAAAAATTCATTTTGATAGGGGAGGGTTTCAATAAGTCATATAGGGTTAAAATTTTCAAAATACCTTTTTTGTTTTTGACAAAAGGGGGAGAAGATGTATATACTTCAAAGAGGTGCATATGCAACATGACTTGAGTGCATTCTTGTGTAACTATTTACATCAAACATAAGCTTTTAATAAACACAAGAAAAGTTCAAAGTGAGTACTTTCAATATGCTTACTTTTAGAGGGAGCTTGCTTGTTTCATTATTTTACTCCGGCTAACTCAATTTGAAGTATATTGTTAGTCAACATCAAAAAGGGGGAGATTGTTAGCCTTGGTTTGCTAAGCCTCGTGTTTTGATGTTAACAAACAATAAAAGAGTTTAACGTTTGTTTAAGTGTTTCAGGTACAACAAGAATCCATTAAGATTTGTTCTCAAGAAAGAAGTCGAAACACTAAACTAGCGTAGAATATAGGTAGAAACCGATGTAAGGATATGATTTTCTATACCTATATTCAAAAAGCTCAAAAGAACTCACAAAATATGTTTAAAACCATCCCATAAACATTTTCAAATATTTAAAAGCTTTTAAACCCAAACACGAAGGATTAATGGAATTTCGGAAAAATTAGAACAGAGCCACGGTACCCCAAGCGGTACCCTATACCGCCTACACGATAGGGTATACCGCCCACACGGTACCCCAGTAGCGTTATACACCAGGTACCGCCAGAGCCAAATGGATTTTTAGTGGCACATGGTACCGAGGTACCACCACTCACAGTACCCCCAACCGTACGCATGGTACCATGCTACTGTGAGGACGGTCCCGGCCTAACGTGACCATTGAGTTATTGTTCCTGATTTGTAATTTGAATTAAATCAATCGTAATCAGCTCCCAATGGCTAATTAACATCTTCCACTATAAATACAAGCCTAATCCTTCACATTTACACACTTTGAGCTTCTGTTTCTAGTTATATACTCTCATATTCATAAGTTTGTATTGTATTTTTGAGAGATTATAATTTCTTTCTACACCGGCTAAGTTTTGTTTTTCATTTTTATATTCTAGCCGTTATATAGAACCTTTGTTTGTGTTCATCAAACACACTTTCTTACGGTCAAGAATAGCCGTTAAATTCTCACGTTGTAACGGTTAAGGATATCCGTATAAATCCTTGGGTAGAGGTTCAAGGATAGCCTTTGAAATCCTTGGGGGAACGGTAGAAGATAGCCGTTAAATCTTCGTTGTAAATGGTTCGAGATAGCCGTTGTGAAATCTCGGAGTGGATCCTATTGGAATGGGTTGTTTGCCTAACTAGTGCAGTGCTTTGAAGAGATCGGGACTTAGTGGATTCAGAAGTCCTTGAGGAGGAGCCTTGAGGTACTGGAGTAGGGAGTTCCCGAACAAGTATAAAACTGTGTGCATTTTATTTACGCTTTTATTTCTGTATTTTATATATTGCTTCTACATTTGCCAACACCGTTTTTATTAAACTTCAAAAAGTTTTCAAACGCCTTATTCACCCCCCCTAAGGCGTGGGCACAACGACTAACATCGATTAATAATTTCTTGTTCTCTCTCTCTCTCTCTCTCTCTCTCTCTCTCTCTCTCTCTCTCTCTCTATTGATATGGCACGCAGACAAATGAAGCGTTCCCACACCAGAAAAGACGTTGCATCCTCCTGGGCTCCTCCACCGCCACCGACAAACAAGTATCTTGACGGGATGTTCTTATGGTTTAACAACCGTGTAGAGACGACTCGGTTCACCGAGAAGTTCGAGCACCGGGAGATTCTTCCTCCCCGTTTCTCCACTGGGTGCTTCCTTCACGGGGTTGTTCCTCGAGTTGTACAGAGCATTCTCTCCTGGGAAAACTTCCTCGACTTCCTCTACATCAAAAAGGGTCACAATCAACCCTTTCTCGTTCGAGCCTTCTACTTGAACTTGAAAAAGGATGAAGATGGGGCGCTCATTTTGAATGTCAACGGTGTCGACATTTACTTGAGCGAGGAGAATATGCAAATCCTCACCGGGCTTCGTAGCGATGGGGATGATCTTAGCCACTACATGGGCAAAGAAGGGGCGTGTTTCAACGAAACCGCTCTTTTGGAGGAAGTTGGAATCCGGAACTTCACTCCCACACCCCAACATCGCCGTCCCACAATTACTTCCATGAATCCCGTGTTTTGATTCATTTTCTATGTTTTGACACGGATTCTCAAGCCAAGGTAGTACAACCACACTTCTCTCTGCACAGAGGACACCAAGACGCTTCATGCGATGATTCATAACGCCAACATCAATTTTTGTAAATTTGTGATGACACACATGTTTGGTGCAACCTCGGATGACAAGCCGCCCCCCTATGCTCTTCTCGTCATGTCCATTCTTGATGAATACAACATCATGACCGATGTCGGGCGAAAATAAAAGGGGACGAAGCATTGGGAAATCGATGAGTCGTCCTTCCACCCTAGCAATGAAGAAGCTCCCTTCCCACAACCTCGTCCATGCCATCAATCTCGGGAAGCGTCTTCAAGATCCCAATCTCTGTTGGAACAAATGGCCGCCTTGACAGCCACTCTCTCCCGGATCGACACCAACGTTGCTCAAACGGCCGAAAATGTGAATACATTATGCCGTGAGCTACACGGGTATTTTGACTTCGTCAACTACCCATACGCCCAAATTGTCCCTTACGTTCATCTCTCAAACTTTGGGGGTGAGGGACAACGAAGTAGGCAAAACGATGTTGAGGATGCGGGTAAAGAAGAAGAGGAGAATGAAGAAGATGAAGACAAAGAGGAGGAAACCGAAGAAGAAGAAGAAGAAGAAGAAGATTTATGAAGACAACTTTCTCGATGATTCCTCCGAGGAGTTCTAGAGCTCTAGCTCTTTTCTCTTTTTCTCTTCCTATTTTATGTTATTCTTTATGCTTCTCTTGTGTACTCCGCTTTCCTCTTAATCAATAAATAAAATCTTTATGGTGTTAAATCTTTTTGTTAATTTCAAAAGGGGGAAGATAAGGGGTATGCATATATTAAAGGGGAATTTTTTTCAAAAAGATCATAACCCTATGCATATCCCCATCTTGTTTGCCATTATCAAAAAGGGGGAAATTGTTGGAACACACTTTATATTGTGATTGAACTAAAGTCGTGTTTGTTTCTGACAGGTTTTGATAATTGCCAAACTCTCGTGGATATGAAGAGTTCGTTGAATAACTCAAAGCGTGAAGAAAGGCATGAAACAAGACCAATAGACTCAAGGAAAAGATCAAGATTTGAAGACTTAGTCGAGTTGGTCTTATTGTGATCAAAACTGACAATCAAATCAAGTCTCGGTTCTCAAAGAGTCAAAAAATATTACAAAATCAAAAAATGTTTTTATGCATCAAATAAACGTTTTAAAAAGTTTTTAATGTTTCAAAAATCTCTGGTCCTTGCCCAAACCAAAACCACACATTCGGTGTTCGGAGTTTGGCATTCGGCGTTTGGTTTTTGGCCATCCGAACCAACCAAGTGGTTTTTAATATTTTATACTTCGTTTTTACCTCTAGGGATATTTAAAAGGTTCCCAAAAAAATATTTTATAAAACCCACTTTTGTATTTTGGTTAATCGGTCTAACACGTAAAAAATGGTCAAAGTTGTAAACACATACGTGACAAATGACCTCGAAGACTTGATTTTTAATAAAAAAAAAAAGTATTTGTTTTACTATTTTACACTATATACAATAATTTTCAAATCTTGGTTTTTACTTTTGGGAACACTTCGTTTTTGGACCTCGGTTTTTCAAGTTGGGTTTACGTCGGTTGGGTCTTAGCTGAGTGATAATCGATTATCACTTACTAACAATCGATTATCAGCCCTGCGGCTTTGAACTCCATGTTCAGAAGCACCCAATAATTGATTCTCTCAATGGATAGAGTTTTAAATTTTTGGACATGGAATCTTTTGATAATCGATTATCATGTTTGGACAATCGATTATCAGTCTGTGACTCTAAAATTTTTGTCCTCATCCTGTTGGAACTCCTGCAGCGGTTACACCACATTTTAACCTATAAAATGGCATCCAAACCCTCTCATTTTGCACACAATTCTTCAACATTTCAATACTATTTCATTGCATAATCATTCTTCATATTTCTTAGCTTTTTGAGAGCCAATTCTTGAAGAAATTGTCGTGTTCTTGATCGTTTACTAGTTCACTCATATCTACTCTTTATGAGAGTTTTATTTCTAAGTGGTTAAGTGTTTATATACACTTGAAGGGAGGATTGTTCCCATGTTGTAATTCAGAGGAAGTTTTCATTCCTTCGTGTGAAGTCTTGGAGTGCAGTATCTCCGAGCAAAAGGCGTTGAGACTCGTGTGACTCGAGTTCTCAAGTTGTATCGGTTTGTTGAGCACCTTTAAGCTTAACGGACTTAGTGTAACTCGAGAGAGTCTCTCAGGAGGCTGGATTAGTCACACATTGTGGTAAACCAGGGTAAAATACAGTGTGCTCCCTCCATACGCTCTTTACTTTACCTTCCTCGTTTTAAATTCCTGCAATTTTGTTTTAAGCGCTATTCACCCCCTCTAGCGTTGGGCCATTATTCTAACACTTTCAAGTTACGAAGTTGTTGTTTTCTAGATTAGGTGTCCGTCCTGAGTCAGATGTATTCCATTGTGATTCATGTACTATACCTAGGTCGCATAAAATCCCTTTTTTGTTGTCTGTGAGTGTTACTAATGCACCTTTCAAATTAATACATTCTGATGTTTGGGGTCCTATATATGTTCCCTCGTTTGGTAGTACGTTATCGTTTTTACATTAACTTTGTAGATGATTTTACCAGTTTTGCTGGATCTATCCCCTTAAACATAAATATGATGCCTTCTCTATTTTTAAAAGCTTTCAAACCATGGTCAAAAATCAATTTGAGAGCAACATAAAAATATCTCAAACTGACAATGGTCACGAATATGTGAATCATGAATTTGGGTTATTTTTCAACAATTGGGGGTTCTTGATCATAAGTCTTGTCATTATATATCTGAACATAATGGGGTCACTGAGTGTAAATATCGACATCTTATAAAAACCTTGGTGTCCCTTCTATATACTTCTTCTCTTCCTGTCTCTTTCTGGGTTGAAGCTTTGGCCACTGCGAATTATCTTATTAATCGCATGTTGAAACGCTCTCTTTAAAATAGCTCTCCATATGAAGCATTATACCACACCCTTCTTCATCTCCGTGTTTTTGGCTATCCTGTTTACCCTCATCTTCGTCATACTATTAATCATAAGCTACAATCCTGATCCAAATGCTATGTCTTATTGGGTTATATACAATCCTCTCTGCTTTTTTACTTACATATGGGTTTTGCAAGAATGTGCATGACACTAGTCTCTTTCTCTTACATAGCTTTGTTGGAACTCTTATCTTGCTGGTTTATGTTGATGATATTATTGTTACTGGTAGTTCCTCTACTCTTGTTTGTGATTTTATTACTCGGATGTGTGGTAAGTTTTAGACAAAAGATATTGGCCCTATTCACTATTTCCTTGGTCTTGAGGTGTCTCAAACTGCTTCTTCTCGAACTGTTTCTCAGAAGAAGTATGATCTGGAGCTTGTTCATCGTGCAGGCTTGGATGACCGCAAACCCATAGCCTCACCGCTTCAGGTTCGGCCGAACATGGCTAACGGAAGGGGGGATGAGCTATTCTCTAATCCTACCTTGTTTGGCAGCCTGGTTTGTGCTCTTTAGTATACTACTCGTCCTGACATACAATTTGATGTGAATTATGTCTATCAGTGCATGCATAATCCTACGGAGAATGACTTTACGAGTTTGAAGCGGACATTTCAGTTTGTTAACGGGACACTTGACAAAGCTCTTATCTTTCAGCCTGGTGACCTTCAGCTTCCTGCCTATTCAGACTCTGATTGGGCCAATGATATGACTTATGGGCACTCTGTCACATGCTATCTTGTGTCCTTTGGCCCTATATTAATCTCTTGGAGTACAGAGAAGCAGATGTGTTCTAATACCCCGTATTAAGATGGGAATAGGAAGAGCTCAAAAGGATTGATAGCACTACTCATATCAACATGGTGTATCTTCTTTTCGAGAGTTCATCACCTAAAAACTCCAATGTTAAGCGTGCATGGCTTGGAGTAATTTTAGGATGGGTGACCCCCTGTGAAGTTTCCTTGGGCGCGCACAAGTGAGGACAAAGTGTGCGGGAAAGACTTGTGTTGGTTTATAGGGCCAGTCTACAATCCTATGAGCGGACACTTACGGCCAAGGGTGGGGGCCAAGGTGTTACAAATGGTATTAGAGCAACCCTTCGATTGTGACGGGCCAAAAGAGCTTAGAGTTCCCCTAGCGGGAAAGATCTGCGGATTAAAAAAAAGGATGCAACGAGGACGTTGCATTCCTAAATGGGGGTGAATGTAATGCCTCGTATTAAGATGGGAATATGAAAAGATCTCAAAAGGATTGATAGTACTACTCATATCAACAAGGTGCATCTTTTTTTCGAAAGCTCATCACCTAGAAATTCCAAAGTTAAGCGTGCTTGGCCTGGAGTAATTTTAGGATGGATGACCGCGTGAGAAGTTTCCTTGGGCGGGCACGAGTGAGGACAAAGTGTGCGGGAAAGACTTGTGTTGGTTTGTGGGGCCAGTCTATAATCCTATGAGCGAACACTTACAGCCAAGGGTGGGGGCCAAGGTGTTACAAATGGTATTAGAGCAACCCTTCGATTGTGACAGGCCAAAAGAGCTTAGTTCCCCTAGCGGGAAAGATCTGCGGATTAAAAAAAAGGATGCAACGAGGACGTTGCATTCCTAAATGGGGGTGAATGTAATGCCCCGTATTAAGATGGGAATATGAAGAGATCTCCAAAGGATTGATAGTACTACTCATATCAACAAGGTGCATCTTTTTTTTGAAAGCTCATCACCTAGAAATTCCAAAGTTAAGCGTGCTTGGCCTGGAGTAATTTTAGGATGGGCGACCCCGTAAGAAGTTTCCTTGGGCGCGCACGAGTGAGGAAAAAGTGTGCGGGAAAGACTTGTGTTGGTTTGTGGGGCCAGTCTACAATCCTATGGGCGAACACTTACGGCTAGGGTGTTACACGTGTGTATTTAAGTCTTCTATGAAGCTGAATATCAAGTTTTATCGTCTGCCACCTCCGACGTTATGTGGGTAATTTATGTTCTTGCTGATTTACGTGTTCCAGTTCCACCACCACAACTTTTTTGTGATAATCAGTCTGTTATCTTTCTTACAAAGAATCAAGTATTCCACAAACGTATGAAAAATGTGGGCGCAGACTGTCATTTTGTTCGTGAACAGATTATTGCTGATACCATGAATGTCTCCCACGTGTTCTCTGAAGATCAACTTGCTGATTTGTTGACCAAGTCGCTACCGAAGCTACGGTTCCACGCTCTTGTTTTCAAGCTTCCGCTCATACCGCGCGTTCAGCTTGAGGGTTGATGTTAGAGAATAATACTACTCCGAATTATTGTAATATAATATTGGTTATGTTAGTCTTTTATTTTTAGTTAGCTTCTATTCTAGTTTCCTAATCCTAGTTGGGGTTGTG